TGAAGCACACTGCTGAGGGGAGCAGAAGGCGGATCAGGAGAGGTCTGCCACGCCATGTGTCAGCTCCCTGGCTGGGAATCGAACTCACACTGCAGTGGCTTTGGAGAGTTTCATAATGTGGAACCTTAACCCGTTGTGCCACTAGGGAGAGCCCGGTGTGTGTGTGTTTTTAACTTGCTTTATGTTTAGTGATACTGCCATACTAGCATTCCCCCAGTGGATGGAAGGAAAGTCAGTGGACTGTTTTTTATTCAACAAACGTATTAACTGCCTCTCCTGTGCCAGGCATTGTTTCTGGCACTATTCTAAGCACTGGAGATACAGCAGTAAACAAAGCAGACAATAATCCCTGCCCCTCAGAGCTTGTATTCACATGGAAGGTTGGGGAGACAAGTTGTCCAAATAAAAATGAAATGTGTATGTCCAGTAACTACTGAAGAGAAAAATAATGCCTATGAGTGTAGGGGTGAGAACTCTAGGGAGAGAGAGGGCAGGGAGGAAACTGGGCATGCTTTAGGACGGTCAGCAAAGGCTCATTAGAGATAGCACATTTGACCATAGACCATAGAGCAGAATGCAGTGAGAAAGCACCAAGATCTAAAAGAGAGCAGGTCAGGCAAAAGAACAGTAAGTACTCACTGACTTTGGGGCTCTCCCTCGTGGTACAATGGGTTAAAGCACTACATTATGAAGCTCTCTGAAGCCACTGCAGCACGAGTTCGATCCCCTGCCAGGGAGCTGACCCACATGGTACAGCAGACCTCTTCTGTCTTCCCGCTGCTCCCTGCAGCAGTGTGTTTCAGTACATCTGCCTGTTCTGCTCCCCACTCTGTCTCTGGTGAATCCTCTCACACACCACACCTCTGGCCTGTGCCCCATTGCTGTAAGCATAAACACATAAATCTTCAAAAAGAAAAAGACTGATATAGTTTTGGCATTTTCAAAGATAAGTTCGTTTGGCCAGACAAAGAAGGATGAGAAGGCAAAATGAACCAAATGGAGGTGGTTAGGGCAGAAGGACTTTGGATGCTGATAATGTTTTCAAGGAGTCTTACCATAAAGGGGATCAAGAAAATAGTCTAGTAGACTGGAAGGAGATCTGGGATGAGGCTTTGTTTGATTCTTTTTTGTTCATTAAGATGAGAGGAATTTCAGCATGTTTGTGTGCTAATGGAAGTGACTCAGTAGAGAAGATAAATTTCAGAGTGCGCAAGCGAGGGGAGAATTCCTGAAACAGTGAACTTGAGCAAGAGCGAGCAGTTGATCTCAGAAAGAAGCAAAGCCAGTTCCCAGACAGTAAGTGGGCAGGCAGATGGGCGGACGTAGGTGCAGGTAGGTGAGTGGTGCGGTTGGCGCTAAGAGCTTGTGGAACTTAAGTGCCCTTTGATTGTTTTTATGTTCTGAGTGAAATAGCAAGTAAGGTACCAGCAGACCGTGCTGATGGAAAGGAGGTGCTAGAGCTTTGAAGAGAAAGGCTAAGGCGTGAAATGGGGTGTATGGATAGTGGGTGATGGAACAGCCACACAAGTCACCACATGTTCAGCTGGATGTGGCTTCCGTTGGACATAACCAGGCTTTTCTGCTGGTCTGTTGGATCCTTAAAAAGGCCATAAAAACAGAGTCACTATGAAAATGATGTCATTGTTACCCGTCACCTGTACTGTTAACTTAATGCATTTGGGATTTGTCACCCTCAGTTGGTCACTAAAATTTTACCCATCATTCTTTTCTTACCAGATAAAACTACTAAAATAATGCTCCACCCTATAATTAAAATCTTCATTTTAGATGTCATCTGTGTATGTTCACTGGGTGTTTTAAAGCCTTATAGCAGTCAGCTTAAAATCATAGCAGTGTTGCATTGTATAGTATTTTTTATTATGTATTCAGAGATGTATTTTTTGTTGTTAAGGACTCCATACACTGAGTCATGCAGAATGGACTTAAGTTTGTTCAGCAAATAATGAGTAATTGGTGTGACAGGTACCATTTGGAAATGAGAAACAATGTTAGCAACATCAGAGGAAAGACTATAGAGTGATTTTTGATAGCTGTAGAAAATAGGGACCAAATCTAGGTAATAGTAAGGAAGAGAAACAGGCTTGAACTTACTTTTAATTTCTGAGTAGCCACAGAGAGG